CGCCGCCTTCAGCCCCGGGCCCGCTCGTGTTCCCCGAGGCGCCTCCCGGTCTGTGCTCCGCGCTGCCCCCGGAGGGGAGGTCCCCAGTCCCCAGGTGCTGTCATTGCCGCCGCCGCGGCAGGCCTTGCGGCGCGCCGAGTCCCGGTGTGCGTGCAGGCCCCCGTTCCAGCGCAGGAAAGGTCCCTGTGGCGCCATCTGCCTCCGTGTAAACACAAGCGCTGTGCGGGCTGTCCTGGGTGTGCGCGTTCCCGGGGAAAGGGCTCCCCGAGGTCTTGGAACAGGGTTGCAATCCAGGAGTTACCACTGCACGAGCAACACCGTCATGAGGACAATCCTTCTTTGCTTTGCAGCTCCACTTAGAGGGTTTGAAATCGGACTCGCAGACCTGTCCCGGTGGCGATTCCGACAGCGGCCAGGGCAGCTGCGAAACGAGCTCTCCTGGTCACCTCCACCGGGGGACAGCAGCCCTCGATGACCGAGGTCCGTGCCGTTTCCGTGCCGGGTGCCTGGAGGTGACGGGCGCCAGTAGTTCATTCTGCAAATAACTCTTTGTAAAGTGGCATTTATGTAATCTTTGATCTTCTGAAAGTCACGTACTTTTGTTAACCTGCATGAATCCAGACTGAGCCCGTGTGGTTGCTCAGAATGTAGGCAGAGAGAGACCTGCAGGCATCAAACAAACCTTGAGGTTCAAAAAGATAAATGGCATGTGAATATCTTTACTGCTTATTTTTCTTTCATGATTTTCTCAATCTACTTATTGTGGTTTTTTTTTAGTAATAGTAATTTACAAATAATAATTATTTGTGAATGGATTTTTTAGCTTTTATTTAAGTCTGAAAACCCATAACATCAATTTGGGTCAAATACATATTGCATGATGGAAAGGAAGTGGATTTTGAAAACTCAAATTCAAATTATTTTGCTATAGCTATTGAAATCTGTGAAATTTAACAGGTTTATATGTAGGTCTGTATTTAAGTGATTGCTTATAAATGGAGTTTACCTCTCTATAACGTGTATCTCTATATATATTGTCAGATTCAGAGGAAGAGATTTTTGTAAGTAAAAAAGCAAAAAGTAAAAGATTGCTTCAAGACAGTGAAAGTGAAGGTGAAGAAGAGAGCAGCTCTTTTAAAAAGAATGACACTCTGGGTGCAGTCTTGGAAAATGGGGAAGAAAAGGAGAATACTGCTGCCCAGAGGAACAAAACATCTCGTCGAGTTTGCCGAGGGCTGCTGGATAGTGATGACAGCGACGCTGAGGACCGCCTGCGTACTGAGAACTTTGAGAAAAGCAAGAAGTCTGGATTATCTGAGGATGAGCCAGGAGGGGAGAAACCCCTAAAATCTGTGAAAAAACACAGAAAAAAACCACATGATCTTGGAGAAGAGACAGCCAAAAAATCTGTAGGAAAATCAAGGAGGAGAAAGGAGAAGGAAAGAAGGGCTGAATCCATTAAAGAGCTGAAAAAAGGAAAGAAGCCTAGAGCAGAGGTATATATTTTTGAAAGAAAATCCCAAATGTTTCCCTAATTAATTTACATTTTCTATTTCTGCATTTGTTTACTGTGTTTCAGTGCTTCAGCATCTCTTTTGTGTGCATTACTATAGCAGATCTGGTGTCCACAGAGATCTATGGTTTTGTTGTATAAAGATGCTAGTTTTGCTTACAGAGAAAGTACAGATCCCAGCACTTGGGAAGTCGGGCAGGGCTGGTGATAATGGGTGTCCTGAGAAAGAAAAGGTTAAAGAGAGGAAAAGTGATAGGGGTCTGTGTTACTCTGGTAATTCCGTGGTCTTAAAAACGATGCGTTATGCTTTAGATTTTTTCCTCTCATTCGACTCATCAGCGTTAGTTAACTGACATCAGGATTTCTTTTTATCCCGGTGCAGTTATAAGGCTGCATCACAAGCTGGAAGCAGATCTCTAGACTTTGCCTGCAGTCTTAATTAATTTTAAAGACTGAAGAGGAACTTCTGAACTGAACAATGCAAATTCTTTTTTCTTAGGACAAGCAGGTAGATGGTGGGGAGAGGTATCCTTTCAATGACAGCGGATGTCTTCTTGATGACAAGGACCTTTTCGATAATGGCTTAGAAGAAGGGGAAAATAATTCCCTCCCAGAAGATGAGGAGTCACTAGAAGCAATACGAGCAGCAGTGAAAGACAAAATTAAGAAGAGAAAGGTAACATTGGATAGTAATATAAGGTTATTGACAGGAAGTATTTTACCTGAGTAGATACCAATTGTTTGGTTGGTTTGTTTGTTTGCTGCACTTTAACCAAAAGGAGAAAGTAGTTGTCTGCTGCTTGTTCTTGGGGAAAGACAAATGTTTTCTTGGAAAGATAACACTGCGGTAAAAATTGTGGAAATCTACCAGGAAAATTATGCACCATTTCTGTTTTAATGTTTATGATGAGCGGTGATGATACAGTGCAATGATTTGGGGCTGTTGACTTGTTTGCCCTTGGTAGTGCCTGTGTATCTCTTGAAATAAATAAATCTTCTCTCATGCCCTGTAGAACAAAGAGCTGTTTTCTGAGAGTGAAGGCTGCAAACGTGTGTTTGATGATGAGAATGAAGAACCAAAAAAGAAGGTAAAGCATTCATTTTTTAAAAAATAAAAATTGCCACTGTTTGTTAAATTGACTCTCCTTGACTGTTTATTGTGTGCTGTCCTTTTAGAACTGCCCTATTTTTGGCTGTTTGGGTGTTATTTTTCTTTTTAACTGGCTGCGTTAGTCTGACTCCCCCTCTTTGAAAGGGGGCGGGGGAAAATATGTAGAAAGTGTAGATGTAGACCCATGTTTTGCTCTGTGACTTCAGAGGCCCTTTTTTTTTTTCCCGTTTTCTCAAGGAGCGGAAAGCAGCCAGGTTAAGTAAAGAAGCTATTAAACAGCTACACAGCGAGACCCAACGACTCATTCGAGGTAAAAATTAAATTCTTTTAAGTAGAGGGATGCTATTAAGATATCCAAGGGGGAAATTGAAAGAAAGCATCTGATAAGTGAAAACTTGCTTTCACATAGCATGAATTATTCAGGGTTAAAGGCTGCAAGACCATTTTTAATCAAGGACCTGTTTAAAAGTAACCTTGTAATTAAGGGAAAAATCCTGCTGCAAACATAGAATCTCATTTGTGCCTATAAATTTGCCTTTAACTAGTGATGTAAAGTTAGTTAATATTTAGTAAGTTGGATGTAATAAAGTCCTACCATTCTAATATTAACACACAGTTCTTTTCCTAATGAATTCGGGGTATGTTGCAAATTCGTTCTTCAAGACTGTAGCTGTTGGAACTCTCCCCAACACCAGTGTTTGCTCTATTCCAAATTAAAGTTTACTACTTGTGCCTTTGCTGCAAAATACTTCTCAAGCTTCTTTGAACTTTGCAGTTACCAAATCAATGTATAGTATAATGTCTTTGATTACTTTTTTATTTTCTTTCACCTTCTTTCTCTGGTAGAGTCATCTTTGTCTCTCCCATATCATGTGCCTGAAACCAAAAGCATTCATGAATTCTTCAAGCGTAGACCTCGACCAATGTGCCAAGGAAATGCCATGTTATTGCTGAAGTAAGGACTTGAGCCTTTCTCTTTTTTTTTTTCATATTGTTTTATTTTAATATTTATTTTCTTTTAGAAATTGTTTTCTTTCTATCTGCTTTTGTTTGTTTTGTTGTTTGTTTTGCCTCTTCTCCCCATTGACAATAGCCATGCTAACAAATGATCTGTTTCCTTCTGCCTTTGTTAGGTCCACAAAGTATCAGGCCTCCCTAGATGAAGAAGCTGCAGGTACAAAGAACATGAGCTTGGACCACAAAGATGGGCAGGCAGGAGGTGATCAGCCAGCAGCTTGTGAAACCGAAACAGGCCTGGGCAGAGATGTTAATACCACCACGGACAAACTTCCTACTGGTGAGGGGGAGAACGTGACACAAGATTGTGCTGAAAAGCTCAGGCAGGGAGATGATGGTACCCGCGCAGTTAGGACTGTAGTAGCTGCTAATAATTCAGAAGAGCAACATTCTCCTGTCCAAAGCACTGACTGTAGCGAACAAAAGGAGAATGAAGTTCTCCTGGCAGCTGGGGAAAGTGCCCTTGAGCAAAGAGACAAAGTAGCACCAGAAGCAGCCCGTGGAGAACATGATCAGCAAATGGCACCTAGATTGGTGGCAGAGCCTGAAAAAGTGAGGAAATCCAAGCTGGATAAACTTCGAGAACTGGGGATAGACCTGTCCATCAAGCCAAGGATCTGCACCGACAATGAATCCTTCATAAACCTTGATGAATCTGGTTCAAATGAAGGTATGGTGGTTGTCACTTCCTGTGATATATTCACATCCTACTCTTGTTACAACTTTAATGCACATGGTGTTGCTTTTTTTTACTCTTGTAAATGCTATTAAATTAATTTTGAGACTTTATTAATGTGTATTTAAAGAATTGGAAGCCTTGAAAGCACGTTTCTTGAAGCACTCTCTTCAAACATCGAAATCTAAAGTTGAACGGACCGTAAACATGAACATTATTCGTAAGGAGACTACAGCTGAGGGAAAAGAGGAACTGAGAGCAGATGTGGTGCCAGCAGTATTAGTTACAGAAGGCCGAGACGAAGCAGTCCACACCAAGCCAGGTAGGTTTGGGAAGAGAAGTGGTAATGGCTGAACTTTAAAATACTGTCTGTTTTGTTTTAGGGTGGTTTTTTTTGGTTTTCTTTCCCCTCCCTCATCTCCCCCACTCCCCAGTCTGCCCCATGAAACACAGATGAAAGAATTTTTATCTCTAGATTTAGTATGTGTTTGTTCCTAGAGGGTAGACCTCTTAAATAGTATTGGTCATTGAACAGCAGGTTGCCCTACGGCAGATTTTTGCAACTGTGACAGACGGAAAAGAATTCAGAGAACCAATATTTTATAAAAACTTTTACAAACAGGTTCTCTTCCACCAACCCTTTGAAAATAACTCTCATATTCTTTCTTAATAGAAGTTTATATGTGTGTGTATATATATATTTGCAAACACACCATGTGCAATGTGACTGTCACATTAAAAGAAACAGATGATTTGGCTGGTACTATAGGCATGGATTATTTTTAGCTGCTCTTAATTATCTCATGTGCTGTAGCACATCTGCCCATGGCAATTGGAAGCTGTTGTTCCCCAAAGACACAGTGGAAAGGCAGACCCTGCTCATTCAGAGGACTGTGCCAGTGGCATTTATGGATAATGAGGAGTCTTGATTGTGTTGCCTCTCTAAAGGGAACCCACTGAAGTTAGGTGCTCTAGTTTTTTCAAGCTGCCAAATCAATTCATAAAAAGATATTTCAAAATAAGCTGTTTTTTAATTCCCCTTTTTTTGTGCTCATAGTTTTATTAAATTGGGTATTTAAATGCAATAAAGCTTTAAGGATTCATTGTAGTACATCTAATGCTTGTTCACATCTTTTTAGGTGAAAAGCTGCAAGCGTTGAAGGCTAAACTCCAAGAGGCCATGAAACTCCGCAGGACTGAGGAACGCCAAAAGCGGCAAGCCCTGTTTAAACTGGATAATGAAGACGTGTTGGAGGAAGAGGAGGAGGAGGAGGAAGAGATGACAGATGAGTCTGAGGAGGAGGAAGACGACGACAATCATGAGGTCAATTGGCAGCATTTTTGCATAAGATTTGTACACTATTGATGTTGGGGGAATTGCTGAATAGCTCTTAAGAGTATGAAGAATCGGTACAATTCGAATGGTTAGGATTTTGTTTCCATGTGTTAAAACTTTTCTTGTACCAGTATGCATGGAAGTAGACAGATCAAAGCAGTGAACACTTGACTGCAGAATTTCTCTTTGGAGAGGCAGAGGAAGATAATGAAGATTTAGAAGACAAACACATTGAGGACGGCGATAAAGAAACTGATAAAGAATCAATTGATGGAGAAAAGATGGATAAAACTGTGCACTGTGATTCTGTTCCCAAGCTACCTTCAACAGAGTCTACACTGATGCTGTTCAAAGACAGCTCCTCCAAAATGGGGTAAACGAATCCACCCTTAGAAATGGTGGTTAAGCAATTTTAAATCTAGTATACACTGTAGGTAACTTGGTTTTAGTGCGAGTATTAACATGCTTTACTATAAGCATATATATTTTTAAAATGCCTTATATGCATTTTTTCTATCCAGTTCCAATAGTTACATGTGCATTCGTATGTATTTTGCTAGAAAACCCAATGACACTTGCTATTATCATCAGAATTTGCTATTTACTGTGTACAGTTTTGTGTGTTACTGTGTTTTTTTTGCTGTTAGGTTTAATTATGCGAGGGAACTTTGTCTTGTATATATTAAGAAATATGTTTTATTTAATAAATTGCAGATACTCTCTTCCTGATGAGAAACTTGAAATAGAAGAAGGTGCAGACAAAGGACCTACCAAGTTGGGTAAAGTAGATCTACTGTCATAGCTATTATTTATTTCGAAAGGGGCACATACAGAAGCTTCTGATTGCAACTGCAGAAGAGTATCTGAATGTTTTACTGGACCACAGGTGAAACTGGGTAACAAATATGATGCTTCTGCAAAAAGGCAGATATTTGGAGTTGCATTAGTATGAATTTCAGACTAGAAAACTCTGATATGGTGCTAGGGGTCTCAATAGAAATGTTGCCTTCAGTTTTGGCATTGCATTTTGGTTAGATGTAGACACCCTGCATGATAGATGAGCAGAATATAGCTTTGAAAGGAGTTAATTCCTTTTGCCTAGAAAGAAGACCAGGGGAAACAACGTTAGAAGATGTCATGAAGAAACAGTAAATACCTGTTTCTCATCCTGCTGCATATATTACAGAAAGAATTTAATTCATTTGTGGTTTGCTTAGAAACTGGGAAGTCTTTCTATTAACTTAAGCATTATATTAAAATATTTGTTTTCTTTTCAGAAGATGATGATTCATTTTCTCTGCCAACACCGGCAAAAGATAACAGCCATAACAGCAGCTTCGAGCTGATCGGCTCCATGATTCCGTCCTATCAGCCCTGCAACAAACAGATGTCACGTGGAGGGAACATTTTATCTGCAGCAGGAGGTTTCAGGTCGCCCTCCCCAGGTTTTTTCAAAACAAGCTTCATCAGCTCTGCTTCCAAGGTAAGATTCTCAGTCCTACTAAAGCCTTATGCTAACACAAAGGATGATGAATAGGTGTATTTAATTTTGCCATGTATGTTCTGAAGTCTGTTTGTTGTATATATTTTTAAGTATACACACATGGACTATGCAATAGCTGAAATGTTTTATCTAGTTTTTGCTTTTGATTTCTAGGGTTGCAAAGCAAATAATTTCTGTGTTTTTTACATTCCCTTGTACAGAGCTCAGGAAAGATGTCTGAGCCCTCTCTTCCCATAGAAGATTCCCAGGACCTCTATAATGCCTCTCCTGAGCCCAAGAGTTTATTTCCAGGACCTGGAGGGTCACAATTTCAATTTTCTCTGGAAGATGACACTCAGAGCCAGCTGCTTGATGCAGATGGGTAAGTTACAGGTGTAAAGGATGGCATTTTCTGTCCTTTAACTGAAATAGGACATATAGATTAGCACTTGAGATTTAAAGGAATTCTTCTAGGTTATGTAGAGCAGTCGTAGAGTAAAAAGCTTATGTTCTTTTGTGCTTTGGTAACACTTTCAAGATGTGTTAATTAAACGTATCGGTGGCAGTTATTCAAAAAGATAGAAGTGAATCTGAAATGAGATGTGAGTGTGGAACCCCATAATGTTGCTTGTACAATAATCATATCATGGGAAGTTTTCTGGAGAAAAGCTCTGCTAATGGTCAAAAAATATTCTTGTATGGGTTTTTCTAATCAAAGACTTCTTTTTTTCCCCAGGTTTTTGAATGTTGGACAACATAGGAATAAATATCAGTCGTCAAAACATCAGCTGACTCTAGCCAGTATGGATGAGAATGCAATGGATGCCAACATGGATGAGTTATTGGATTTGTGTTCGGGTCAGTTTAGCAGTCAAACTGAACACGTGCCAGATGCAAACAGCAACAAAAAGCAGAACATGGAAGAACTACTCAATCTTTGTTCAGGAAAATTTGTATCTCAGAGTACGTCCTGAAATCCTCTTCCTAACCTTGCTGAACACCTGACCTTTAGCTTTACACTAGCATATTCTTTTAGTTCTGGGCTCTAATGCATAATTTGGAACTTCTGAGAACTTTGAGAGCTTCTAACAATTTGCCACCTTCATAAGTGCATATTAACCTGTCATTTCTAAGATGCTTTCAGATGTTCTAGGAACTCTAAGATCTCTGTCTAAAAAGTTGCCCTCTTGTTCCTTTTTTGTAGCAGGTTCTCCAACATGGGCATCTTCAGTGTCTTCTAAGGCTGGAAAAGACAGTGACGTGGAAGATCCAATGACAGAAGCTCTAGCACTTTGCTCAGGCTCCTTCCCAACAGACAGGTTAGTCTCTGCTGGTGAAACTGCAAAGGCATAAGGGTGTTTGACAGAGAGATAGAGAGGTTTAACAAAGGGGGAATGTTAAAGGAATCCAAGAGGAATCATGGAGAGAAGTAAATGCAGGAATTGATATTTGTCCCATGGTTCCTGCAAGGCAGGACTTGAGGACTTGAAACCTAGATTCTTAAAATCCTGTGAGCATTAAAGCTATAGAAGTGCCAGGGCTGGGAGAGCACAGCTCTTCAGACTGTTTCTTAGAGAGCTACCAGAGACTGATGCGATAGCTGCGGCCTTGCTATGACTTCCTGCAAAACTCTTGGCATTGCTCAAATGAAAACAGGTATTTCTTTCGTTATATTTTCCCATAGAGAAGAAGAAGAGGGACAAGAAGAAGAACTTGGTGAATTTCAGCTTGTGACGGATGACAATGCCTTTGATAGCGAAGAGGTAGGAGCTGATGGAACACCGTGGTTGCTGCAGCATTCCCACTGTGTTAAATGTGCAGATCACTTAAAATGTCTGCTTAATGTTCCAACATACTGGACGAAACGTCTTTGCTTAGCAAGGGCTTTGCAAAGCCTGTGATGTTTCAGTCCCTGTTTATTGATGGAAGGACAAAGAAGGCTGATATTTCAAGGCAGTCTACTTGCAGAAATTCCTGTGTTTCTGAAAATGTTTGTTTTTAACAGGATGAAGGAAGTGAGGATGGTGATGCTGAAGATGCAGAAATTAGTGATGAGGATGCTGAAGAAGCAGAAATTAGTGATGAAGAAGAACAAATATTGAGACGTAGACAGGGCGTTAAGAAAAAACTGTAAGTCTTTTTTCTTGAAAAGAATATCAATAGCATGAGAATTTTAATCTGTAGTTCTTCTCCCTACCCCAGCCTTAGTGGCTTAAACACAGGTGCTGCTTATGTGGCCGGATTTTGGTTTTATGCTTCAGTGCTGTTGGGCTGCATGAGCTTAACCATGTTACTAGAGGGCTGTAGAGGAGCTAGTAACATTTAAAATGGAAAGCAAAAGGCTAGGATGAAAGCAGTGCAATGCCTTTGGGTTGGAAGGGAGGAGTGTTGCCCTCATTCCTTACATTTTAAGGTCTTCTTTTCTTGTAAGTGAAACATCTAGTTGGCAGCTGTCATCTTCACCTTGGTAGGCAACTGGCAAGAAATTTGGGGGATGGGAATAATCTAGATTATTGCTTGCTGGTAGGTTGTGCTTGTGAGTGTGCGAGAGCTTTAGTGTTAGTCCTTTCAAATACTGCAGGTGAATCCTTGTTTCTCTTCTGTGATACATGCTCATATTTATCTCTTGCTTTCAGAAGATTTGTGTGGTGATTACAAGTCTGCCAAAGTAAACTCTTTTAATGTTCTTTTATAGAAAACTACAGGATTTCATGGAAGATGAGGCAGAGCTGTCAGGGAGTGATGTGGGAAGTGAGGATGAGTATGATGGTGAAGACCTGAACGAATATGAAGAAGACGTTATCGATGAGGAACTCCCTACTGATGCGGAATTAGAAAATCAAGTGCAGAAATTACACATGTCAGTGACAGTATTAATGTGCATTTATGTGTGTGAAGGGGCTCTTGGGTATAATTCGGACTAACCCCCATTTTTTCCTGTGTTTTAATAGGAAGGCAATGCTTGATGATGACAAGCGTCAGCTACGTTTGTACCAAGAGATGTACCTCCTTGATGGGGACCTGCACAGCGATGGCCCTGGCAGAACGAGGAGATTCAGATGGAAGAACATAGGTGCCTTTCTGCTCTGTAGTCAGTAAACGGGGGTGAGACTTTGCTAAGGGCCATGGCACACAAGGTGGAAACCTGCAAAGTAGGGACTGAATGTTTCCTTTGGAAATAAGTGTTATTGCGTTTTTCCATAGCAAGAAGGGTACTTCTCTGTGCTTAAATCTGGGCAAATGGTTCTAATCTTGTCATATGGTGCTCCCCAATGCTTTCTGTAGGTGCCTTTCCACTGGTCTTTTGTCTCTTGTTTTGCCAGATGTTCTGGTTCCATATGTCATCCATCTAAATGAGAGAAAGCATTCTGTGCGTAACCCCTTCTCAGATACGTTTTCCAAAATAGTTCAGAAAAAATAATTATTTTCTCTTCTTGTCTAGATGATGCTTCACAGATGGACTTGTTTCAGAGAGATTCAGACAACGATGATGAAAATGAAGAGCTTGATGAGACAGAGGCAAAGTGGAGGAAGGAGCGATTTGAGCGAGAACAGTGGCTTCGTGAGCAGGTAGCGGTTCGTTTCCAGGAAGGCATCTTGCTTCACCCTTCCCAATACCATTAGCAGATGTGCTCTTGTTAGTGTGTTGAGTTAAAATCCAGGAAAAAATACTGTTCATAAATTTGTGTTGAAAACATGAACAAAGGCATGTTTAGTACTTTAAAGATCCCAGTACAAGAAACCCATTCTAACTTTGAGAGTGACGTTATTGGATGAATGTGATGTTGTTGTTCATTGACTGATAGATAGAATGAGGGTGATAAAGTATCTAATAAATTGCAATAAACTTTTTCAGTAGAAAATAAAAATGAATATTATATATATATAAATGAATGTTATGAAAGGGCTTGGTGTACTTGAGTTACTGAATGAAAAGGTCATTCTTAGTGTAAGCTTTTTCAGTTTAACAAAGTACCTTTTCTGCCACAGAAGGAAAAAAATGAAGAGGAGGAGGAAGTCGGTGAAGATAGCCAATTTATGAAACTAGCAAAAAAAGTAACTGCTAAGTCCCTACAGAAGAAAGGTAAGTTTATTTCCTAATGAAGTATCAACCAAGTGAGAGAGAGACTAATTCCAGTGTTTGCTACTTACTCTCCAGCATCTATCAGTAGTATAGTCTGATGTGGAGTGTTTTTATTGTAGCATTTATTGTTGTTTGTCAATTCTGAGATCTTTAGTTTGATATAAAATTTACTTTGATGGAAAGTTATATTCTTTCACATGAAGTTCACAAACTGACATTCTCCTCTCTATCTCTGCTAGCAAGCCCTGTCGTAGTAATGCAAGAAACAAAATTGTTGCCCACAAACCCGTTTGAAGCATTCAGACCTGCCAGTGATGTCCAGGTTGGTAATGGCTTTGAAGAATGCTATTTCCATACTGCATTTATAGAATGTGTCTAAGTCAGCTAATTCTGGATTCTGGCCAGCAGTGCTTTGTATGGTAGTGATAAAATACCCAGTAGAATGTTGCTAGGAGGTAGTCTTTTCTATAAAGTATCCTGCTAAAAGAGTTGTCATGGTTGGTGGTGTGGCCTAATGCAGCATTTCTTTGTTTTTCAGCTGAAAAATGGGTCTCTCTTGAACAGACCTAAAGCTGTACTTCAGAAACTAGCAGCAATGTCAGAACTTAATCCAAATGCCCCTCGAAATTCAAGGAATTTTGTCTTTCACACACTTTCTCCAGACAAGAGTGAAGAGGCAAAGGAGAAGTCAAAACTTCAGGTAAAGGTTTATGCGGGCATGTATGTCAGTTGTGTAACATTTTGCTATGTTCTAGACTGCTGGCTGATGATTATGCAGTTCTTATCAAATTATTTAAGTGTATTGATGTTAGACATTGCCAAGCAGTCAGCAGCATTGGCATCTTAAATATTTTCAGTTATGTTCAGTTGTGCAAGTATGTGTTCTCACATGAAATATGTACATTCATAACTCAGAATTTAAAGTGTTTGGAGATTTTTCTATTTACTAATGCATCCTTCTCCTTTATAGGTGAAGAAGAGAGGTTCTACTGCAGTAGCAACATCCCTGGCCAAGCGGCCCAGGACTGACAGCACAGCACAAATGAGTAAAAGTCGGAGCATATTCCAGTTCTTGGAGAGCTGAATAGTTTTGTTTAGGGCCAGAAGTTACATCTTGTCTCTTTGCCAGGTGCAGTTTGGTTTGCAGATCTCTACCAACAATCATCCAGGGGGGAGAGCTATTGCTACGCATTCTTCCCTCTGTTTCCACTTAGCAAGTTTCAGTAATCTCCAGGCAATGGTCTTGATTACTCCCTTTAGTCTTTCTCAGTGTTCCATGGCGAACAGGAGAGCACGAGATCCACGCTTGGATTGGAATGAAATGCTAACTTGATCTGAACCCAAGCATTAAGGAAACTTACACTACTATATACTGTCCTCACAACCTCAAATGCTGCAAAAATACCCAATCATTACTGGAAATACCATCCCTGTGATAGGGGTGATGCAGAGATGCTGCAGTTGGTTTAAAGCACAGATGGAGGAGGTAGTCCTGCAATTCTGAATAAGAAACAAGTAGTGCTAAATACAGCAGGACCTACGTGTATTCCCTTCAATGTCTTATTTTCTCTATCAGTAAGCATTTACTACCTTGGTGTCTTGAGACATTCTAGTGTACATTTTAAGTACATAGTTTAAGGAAAAAACCCCAAATCCCCAGTATTTTATGAGGCAGTGTGATAGGGTTCTTTCCAAGTTTGTATTGCTGTTTATCTAGTCACATCTATGAACGTGTGTGGAGAGGGACGAATGTGAATAGCAGATGTAGGAGAGGAAAAGGAGATGTGCAGGGATTTTTGTTGGGTTTTGGAGTTGTTTTGAACAACTGAAGACCATTAAATTATCTGTCCCCTTGTTTTTTAAGTGGTTATAGTTCTCCATGAGAAATGATCCATTTCTGCACAGCTAGTAATGAAAGGCCTTCCCTAGAATGAGGATATGAGATAATAAGGAACCATTATTCAGAACTCCTCTAGATTGTGTGGAAGAAACTTAGGATGTAATTAGAATATACAGCATCTCTGATCATACACTGAATATGTAAAAGTAGAGACTTTGTTATGGTAACACACTGGCTTGTTGTGTGGGACAAAACATCTCCTAAGACTTTATTTCAAATACTTGCTGTCGGAGAAGAATCTTGAAGTGTACATTTTGTAACATCATAAGCATACGCCTGGTGTGCTACATGTAAAATATTTTATTGTATATTATGTTTATAAAGAAATATGGTACTAACTGGAGTGCAATTTTACAATAAAATCTGTTTTTAATTTTGGGGACAGTTGGAATTAATTTACAAGATTTCACTCAAGTTGCGTACATGTGGTTTTTCAAAATGTTCATCTATCTGTATTTTCTGTGGCTTTTCTTCTTTTTGGTAGCAACAACGGAACCATTTGGTAGGAACAGCTGCAATAAAGCACAACACAAACTACTTCCCCATGCTTATTGGAGGGTAAATTCTCGAGTTCTCAAGTCTTCCACTTGGGTTACATTTGCATAAAATTATTGGGCCATTTCGTTGTACTGCTCCTGTAGTTCCGTTTTTGCTAGCTCCTAGCCAAAGCATCCTTTAGCAGTGACTTGAGGTCTGCTTGCTGCTCTTTCTTGCATCTGACCTGGTAGCCTAGATGTGGCATCTCTGTCCAAGCCTTGAGAACGTGGTTTTTCAGAGCGCTGGAAATCCCTATTTCCCTTCGCACGTGGAGTTCCCTTGGCCCCTGCCCCGGCTGTGCCCGCGGGCCGGCGCTGCACGAGCAGAGGTAACGTGCACGTAAAGCCTCGCTGGCTGCTCTAAACGTACAAGTGCCCGGGTTTATTCCCAGCTGTGGCCATAGCTCTGCGCTTGCTGCGAGCTCTGTCCTGCTCTGAGCTGTGACCGCGCTACTGAGCAGGGAAATACTGGGACAGGGGCCTGAGATCTGAAATCCCGCAGGTAACAAGCTTGAGGGAAAGGGCTGAAAGGCCTTAACACTTTGAGAATTTCCACGTAAAACACTCTAAGTTTCTGTTTTATTTGTATTGCTGTAGAGTGGAAATAGATGAAGTTTGTCAAAGGCATTTTGTGCTTTTCAGTTTTGAACGTGTCTCTCCTTTAGAGGTGCAGTAGATTTTGCAAGACCCCAAGTCTCGCCCTAGGACAGCGTGGCTGGGAAAACGGGAACCCGCGAGCGGGGCAGGAGCGCCCAGGACGTGGCACTCGGCTGTAAGTATTTACCAAACACAGTGCTTGGACCATCCAAACCTGTTCTTAATTCCTTCTAGTAATTCTAATAATTAGCATATCTGCATTTGGGGCTTTTGCAAAATTGTTTCCCTGTTTTGGGTTTTTTTTTTTAGGGAAGTGAATGAAGGAGGAAAAGTCTCTTATCAGCAATCTTTTAAAGGGTGACTTAATTGAAAGTAAATTACTGAATATCCAGTTAATTCTGTATCTAAGCAAATGTTTGTACTGATTTGTAAATTATACTAATTCAGCACAGGTTTACAAGAAAAAAATCAAAAGTTGCAACATTCAGCTTCTCAATTTTGCTGTGAACTCCTGCCACTAGAGAGCAGTATTAGAATGTCCTTCCCCTCGGAACAGGACAAGGATGTGTAATCAAAGCTTGAAATTCCCTCTGAATCACAGAGAGATGGTTATACTTTTCTATGCTCTGCACAACTGCAAAGGACTAGATGCAGATTAGCCTCTTCTTTAATTGGACACACTTTTTGCCTGCAAAGGTAGTGGGTTTAGAGGCTTTCACAGGGAATAGCTGTGGAGGTCTGTCTGCCCTCGTGGTCCCCGTGGCCTGAGTGCAGGATGTGGTAGCCCGGTACAAGGACGGCATTTGTTCTGCCTTCCCCCAGAGGGGAGCTTCTACCCAGGAAAAACATGGTTTGCTTGTTCCAGAGCAAATTGCCCTAAGCAGAAAAATAGTATCAGGCCTGAAGAGCTTGGAATTTGAAATAAAGAGAATGAGAAGATTTCTGGGTATTATTGCTCCACTTACCCACTCACCCCCACTTAAAAACAAAAAAAAGAAACAAAACAAGAAGCCTTCCTGGAGCTCAGAGCCTGCACAAGGCTGCTGTCGAGCCCCTCGGTTACGCGTTCCATGCAGCACTTCGGCTCTCCTACAGAACCTGAAATCCTGTTTTCAGGAGGGGTTGTGCCATCCTCTGAGATGCTGCTGCTCCTTGTGCCGGCCGCCGCGGTGCCAGCAGGGACAATGGGGTTGTAGTTTTGGCCCTGGTCCTTCTCCGTGCTCCGCTCCGCACCGCCCCGTCTAGCACATTAACTCCGCTTTGGCTTCTCATTCTCAGGTATTGATTCAGGTCGCCCCTCCTGGCACTGAGATGAAGCAGTTGTGCTAAAAGGGGGAAAAATCTCCCTCCCGTCTGCGGCAGTGAGTGCTGGGAGCTGCCGCGGGCCGGGCGAGCACGGAGAGGTCGGCTGGTGGTTTCGGAAGGGTGAAGGGCTGGCGGCGATGGTGCCACCCTGCGTGCTGCTTCCCCCTGGCAGGGAGAGCCCCGAGCCCCTCTTTGGGATGTTCCCTCTATCCCTGCGTGAGGCTTAAAGCCAGCGTTTTAATGCCAGTTCTCACAGTCTACAGGCCACGCGTCCCCACGCCTCAGGGTCCCCTTCAGAAGGGACAGGGCCTGGTGCTTCCTGCACCACGGGAGCCGGGATGCAGGGCGTGCTGTTAAGCACAGGCTATTCCCTTGCCGGCGGAATCAGCTCTTAGGAGCATAAATTGTAGGAGCGAAATCTAAAAAGAGCTCATAAGCAAAGAGAAGGGATGGTCTTTGGTCGATGTTAAAGGTTAACATTGCAGACACGTTTATAATCATAGCTTTCTCAACCACACAGCTCCTCAGGGGTTCAAGGCAGCCACTGAATTATATTCTCTTTTCCGTTTTTTTTTTTTTTTTTTTTTTTTCCTTTTTTGCCAAGAGACTGAAAGGGGGAGAGAAAAAAAACTATTTGTTTGTCTTGTCTAATTTAATTTATGTTATTTATCAAACAGACAGGTTATTTGGGAAACCAGATGGACCCAGGCTAAAATCATCTGTATTTCCAACATGTGAAAAATTATGTCAGAGTGGACACATGAAAAGGAGGGTGCTGTATGTTTTGTGTGTGTTTATCACATGCGCTTCTGAACCTCATCTGTCCTGGATCTTTAATCAGTTGTCCCAGCCCCAAGATGAGGGTTAAAGGACAAGAAGACCCTCAGGGCATCCAGGCAAGTGCGATTGGGGACAGTATCTTCTAAAACAGCCATGTCACAATTATTTAGCCTCTCTGGCTTTCAGCCCTCCCATTAGCTGGTGCATCCTTTCTCTGGGAGTGATGAATGGGGCATATTTTTGGACCCATGAAATATGTCTTTAGCATGGGTTTGTTTCTGGGACTGAGCTGGTGACATTATCAGCATCTGTCTCTCTTCCTTCAGGTTCTTTATTATCAGAAAAGAAAACATGAAAAATATAAAGCTGAAGGAATAGGGGGTGGGGGAAAATGGCTACAGTTAAATTGAGCAAAATAATGCTCTCTGAAACTTGCAGCAGGGCTGGGCTTATTAGATGCCTTGTGAAGCAAAAGTTTCATTATTAACTATTAGTCATTAATATTAATTATAATATTACATGTGTTCTTTGTGGACAGATGTTCAGACCTTGGGGTTTATTATTTTCTCCTGTATCATCCAGAAGCCCGATTTACTACAAACTCCAGCTATGCTTCTCCAAACTGCAGCAATCCAAACCCGCTCTAATTAAAGAAAATAATATGAAAGATTGCAGTGCAAAGAGGAGGGGTGAAAGGCAAATCCTATGGCTTTGCAAGGGCTTCATTTTGTTTTTAGCTAGTATATGTTTTTCTCTGCTCCTTAAGGCTGTGTTTATGCAACGCGCTCTGTGCTGCTTCCCTTGCAGGGTGCCGTCGCGTCTCCCCATTTCGTGGTGCTGGAGGAGCCGCAGCAGGACGGCCGCCTGCCCTGGGGGACGTCGCACGTGGCCCCACTTGTGTCCTCGTGCACTGGCGGTCCCAGCTTCCCGAGGAGAGCGGGAGAGCCCGGAGACAGCAGGTAAACACCCCAGGCTCTGGACG